TGCTGAGCTCGGTAGAAGTTGCAGGACTCTTCTCCATCCCTCTAGGAGAACATCTGCTCTCTACCGGTGGACCACCTTTACTGGCCATGCTCTCCAATCTCTCTTCGTAGTAGGTTCTGCTGGGCTCGGGTCGCTCGTCGTCCCAGTGGTCGGAGAAGCGCCTGGTGCCCTGGCTGCTCCGCGAGGAGCCAGGGCTGCTCTCCTCCATCGCGATGGTCGAGTTCTTCGGCACAACCACGACAGACTGCAGCCGTTTCCGCGGCGCACCGTCATCGGAATCCGAGTCCTCCGTGTCGCTGTCGTCGCTGCCCCCCTCGCTGTCGCTCTCCCCTGTGTCAGAGTAATCCTCGTGGCCGGCAGGGACAAATTCAGCAGCGTTGCCGCTGCTGTCACACGTCGGGGCCTGAGTGACCGTCTCCGTTTCTTCTGCGGTGACAACAACATCACAAGAGGGAAACAGGGCATCTGGAAAAGCTGAACCCACCAAGGGCTCGTTTCCCTCGTCCTTCTCGGCCGACGCGCCGGGACAGCGAACTCTCACATCATCCGGCCCAACGCCCTCGGTGGGAACAGCACTTTCTTCCACGACCTCCCGGCCACGGCGCTCCAGCGGCACCGCCGAGTAGTACGAATGCTCGTCTCTGAACGACAGCTTGCTTTTTGCCGAACCAAGATCAACGTGCTGAGCATCCAAGTCCAGCATCTCTTCGGCTTCCGAACGCGGCAGCAGCTCCGGGCATCCACCCGGCGGTGGCACATCCCATTTGGAAGAGACAATTTCCTCCGGCACGGGATGGTCCGAGCTGAGCCTCAGGGAAGAGCCATCCTGGGAGGGATCCCGGCTCGAGCTCTCCACTGCCAGGCTGATTTTATGGAGAGGCTGACCGTGCTCATCGTCACAGGCGGCCTTTGGGTGGTGATCCTCCGTGCTCTCGTAATCGCACGTCACCGTCTGCAGCTCTATCTGCATGTCCAGGAAAGTCTCGGATGTAACTTTTACATCCGCCGGCTCGGCTTCGATTTCCACTTCCGAATGATACAAAGCAGGGGTGGCTTCGTCTGAAATGTAGCAAAAAACTGGTTCTTTGGTTTTGTCACCCGGAGGCGCCTGATCGTCCAGCTCAAGTAGGGCTTTAGTGTGATCTACATTCAGGACGGGCAAAGGGATGGCTTCTCCTTGCTGCTGCGGGACCGGAGCCTCCGCTTGCCGAAACGGACTGTTGCACTCGCTGGACTGGACCCGAGAATCGTCCGGCTCTTGCTCTTGAGACGCGTAAACGCTCTCAAACCCGTTAGATGGCAACGGATACGACGGACTCGTCTTCACGACAGGCGACGCTTCTGACCGGCACAGGCTGTCGTCAGAAGACACAGCGACATCCTCGGGTTTGGAGGCACTGGAAGTTGCCAAACCATCGGCTCTCCCCTCCGGGGACCCATTGACGCTCAGCTCTACAGGGAGACACGTTCTTAACTGGTCGTGCTTGATCTTTAATAAAGTCTCTTGTTCCTTAACACTGTCGTGGCATTCGTTTCCTGCAAGTTCCTCGGACTTTGAGTTGGCAAAACCCGCTTTCGATTCATCTGCCTTTTTAAAAGCGGGCGAATCGTTTAACTGATCTAATGGAGAAAGTGTCTTTTCCCTTTCAAATTTTTTCGCAATGGACACCCTGATCTCATTGCTTTTTAGACAAGAGGTCTCTAAATCTAGAGAATTAGACTGCTGTTTTATTTCTTCGATCGATTCTGTACAACAGAAAGAACTCTTAAATTTATCAGGCTTTGGTGTGGGGGTCTTTGAAGGGGTGGACTTATAACGGGAGGAATTCACATTACTGTCGGGCTTAGAATGGGATGTCCCCTTCCGATAGCCTAGCTCGTCAAGGGGAGAGCACCTTTTGGTTACTTCACTTTCGGAAGTCCTTTTTGAATCTCTATCTGCTTTCGAAGACGACCTTCCTCTCCTCTCCGCGTCGGCGTAAGACGACTCTACTTTGCTGTCCCTGTCCGACTTAGAGTACGAAGAAGTCCTCGAGTCTCTGTAGGAGGAGGAGGAGTGGGACGACGTACGCCGCGAGTCACTCGATCTGGAATGTGTCCTCCTGTACTCGTCCTCCGAGTCGGAGCTCTCTCGCGCCCTGCTGTCAGCGTACGAACGGGAGTATCTCGACCTTTCCCTGTACGGGGAGCTCCGGTGGTATCTGCGGTCGGACTCGTAGTAATGTGAGCGCTCCGACCTCGAGTAGGAAGAGCTGGTTCGGGAGCCCCGGTCGGAGCGCGAGCGGGAATGAGACCGGCTTCGCCTTCTCTCTCGGTCCGACCGAGAGCGGGACGACGTATACCGCGAATCTCTTTCCGACTTCGAGTAGCTCGAGTACTTCTCATCCCTGTCCGACTTGGAGCGCGAGGAGGACTTCCCCAGGTCGTCACCCCTGAGGGACGCCGAGCTTCGTCTGGGATCTCTCTCCTTTTCCGTACTGGATATCTTCTGCTCGTGTGACCGCTGGCTGGAGGAGGTCCTCACCGAATCTTCATCGGACTCGGAGCCCAGCAGCGTGCCGTCGGACTGGGAGAACTTCCTCTTCAACCCCTGCCTGCGGGAGCAGAGGGGAGCACCCTTCGAGCCATCGGAAACCTCGTCCTCTTTCCCAATATGGGAATCTTCCTTCTGGGGAGTTATTTCCGGCTGCTCGGGCACGTTTTGAGTTACACGTTCTTCCGAACCGCGCGATGCCGCGTCCTGCTTGACCTCCGGCTCCAAAGCCTCCTTCGGGACGGCGTGGCACGGCTCCTTCAACGCGGCGACTTCGGCTTCCACGGGAGGCGACAGCAACAG